ACGCATCAAGGAACAGCAAAAGGAGTTCACCAAACTCTTCAAGAACTTCGCCAAGCTCGTGCGTGACCACCTTGACTCAAGAACGTTTGTTGCTTTTGAGCTTTCCCGTCGCTGTCGCTATTGGCATTGGCCGTCGGTGTTGGCCTTCATCAAACGCCACAACTTGCAAGGATACAATTTCGATGGATGCATGTTTGGGGTGCGCGATAATCACGGTAATCTTATGCGTAAGAGTTGGCATATATGCACAAATCTTCATGAGCTTGCATGTCTTGAGCAATACATGTGCACACATGATCACACTCATGGGCAAAGTAGAGGCAAGTCATTGAAGAGTGCTGAAGGTTACACGTTTGAGTACACTGATCTTGTTCACCGCTGTTTTAAGAATAGCAGCTCAAGTCATTCAGCCGCCGTCGCGCAGCGCGCCCTGCCAGCGATCATTGTTGATCACACCATGTCGGCTGACCAAGACATGCGCAGGGAAACCTTGGACATCTTCGAGTCGCACTTTCGGCAGATTGTGGCCTCTGGCTACTACCTCGAAGATGGATATTCTGAGGACGTGGACGCGGTGCTGAATGGCGTCCTTGGCCAGCACACAGCACATTCTGTGCTGGCGGGCCTGGTCGAGAAGAACCGCTGGCTAGAGCCGGAGTTGGGCCCGTTGATTCGGACCTCACGGTATGATCTAGCCGCCTTCACAGGTGTGCCCTCGAGTCAAGATTACCAAACGGTACATGTCTTGATCTCTGATTCCACCTTGTGCTTGGTTAGCGGGTCGAAACGCAAACCCCAGAGGTTCGATCTGGCCGATCACTTTCAGGCCTATCGTCCAAGCTACTGCAAACATTTTCACCACGAATGCCTCTGGGGTGCAGAGTTGCCATTGTTGCTGAAACGAGCTCGTATTGCTGTGAGGAGCCTCAAGCGCCAGTTTCCAGGCTGCATGCTGCTGGTTGGCGTGGTGTGGTCTGGCAACGAGCTCATTGGCAAGAAAGGAATTGAAGCCCAGACTTCATGGCCCTTCGATCATCCTGACGGCGATCACTACACGGAGCTACAGGAGAAGGCGCAAGAGGAGCTGGTTGGGTTCGCCGCCGATATGTTTCGATACGGTGTGCACTCGGCCGCTCTCATCAGCGCGCCCGATCCTGAGACCTACAACTTCACGCGGCAGGGACCCTACAGCGACTGGTACAACCGGCTGAGTCAATGGTTCCAAGATGAAGTGTATGGTTCTCAGGTCGGCAAGTGTCGCTTCCGCCTAGTCAACATTAACGTCCTCAACACCCGCATGGACTTGCGTGACCAATGGCATTGCGAAAAATCGGACGAGAATGCAAATCATATTTTCTCATTTTGTCAGAGTGTATTCCACCTGCTCATGAGACTCTATGTTCTCGGAGATATCGCATTGGAAGTCGCTGCCACCAGTCCGATGAACCGTCCGCTCGGTGGACTTGAGCTTCGTGATGATCGCCTCCCTCCACATCCGCGATACGAAGAGCTCATGCGAAATCTTGCCGATGTCCGCCACAAAAGGGCAATCGCCGCAGCCGAGCTCACCGCTCGCGCCCTTACCAAGAAGGACGTTGCTGCGGAGCAGCCAAACCGTGCTGCGCCGATTACCGAGGCAGACATGGCCGTCATCGATGATGAGCCCGAAGAGGAGGAAGCTGATCCTGACCTTTCGGAGATTTTCGTCGCAAATGACGCCACGGCGGAAAAGATCCTCCAGCAACGCCTTGACGTCATGGAGGAAGAGCAGGAGAAGATTGCTGCAGAGCTGGACATCAACCGTGAAACCTATGAGGGTCGGCTCCAGACGCTTGAGGAACTCAGCCATCGCGTCGAAACTGGTCAGAACCCAGCGGCATGGCTCGACATCGATGCCAATGATGATGAGGTTGAATCGCCATATGAGGAGGTTGTGCCAGAAGAAAACGAAGAAGAAAGCGCACCTCATGGCGAGCAAGGCTCGGCCGCCATCACTGGCGTGCCCGAGCCTGAGGCAACCTCACCGCCGCCGGCAGCTGGTGCTGATGAAGGCCACGTCGTGTGCCCTCAGTACCTTGAAGACCAATATCACGAGTACACGTACAAGATGGCCGAGGTCGATGGAGCCTTCCAGCAGGTGGTCCAGCTTGGCGACAAGCAATTGCCGCTCCACTTTGCGAGCGGATGGGAGCTCAATGGCGGGCACCTTTTCTTCGCGAAGCCCCTCAAGGATTGGCTCACCCAGTTATCTAAAGTTGTCCGACAACATGACCAATATCTGGGCCTTGAGGTTGACGAAGATGGCTACGCAGACTTGGACGAAGTAGCCAGGTGTTTCGGCCTGAATCACCGCAGTGCCCCGCCGCTCACCGTCAAAGACTTGATCGCCATAGCAGCAAAGGACAAGAAAAACCGATTTGAGTTTTTGGGCATTCGAGAAGGGCACAAACTCGAGGAGAAGGGCGTGGCACTATGGCCTCTGAAGATGCGTGCCGCTGCTGGCCAAAGCAAGCACGCGATCAAGAGCGCACAGGACAATTACAGATCGGCAGCCCTGATGTACTGCAGTCCTGCGCTCAGGCCAGAAGCCAAAGCTCCCTTCATTGGGAAGCCCATTGCCAAAGCGGATGAGATCCCTGCCTTGGCCTACCACCGCACGAGGCCAGCGTGCTGGAAGCGGATCGTCAAGGAGGGCCTCATTCCAGGCGGGGGCGAGTTTGTTGGCAGCGATCGAGCCCATGTCTACCTGGCTGCAAACCGCATTACGGAGACCGACTATCAAAGCGGTCTCCGCGGTAAGCACCCTATTCAGCTTACTGTTGCACTTCGGGAAGCAGTCGATGGCGGTCTCATCTTTTTCCAGAACCGCTCCGGTGGGATCATGACGGTTGACACGGTACCTCCAGAATACATTGTCTCCGTCGAAAACACCGAAAGCCAGTCCACACTCTGGACCAGGGTAAGCGCCGTTGGCCTACCCGAGGCTGCTCCAGCGGATGGAGGTGAGATCCGGGCCGCCGTCACTGGCGAGCCCCGGCCAACCGCAAAAGCGATGCCTGTTTCCCTGACGGCAACTAGCAAATCGGCACCTGCACGAAAGGCTGCACCTTCGACTCCACCTACTTCCATTGAGAATGTGGCAGAGCAAGAGCAACCTGCAGCATCTTACGACGGATATGCTCCGCCCGAGCCTGCGGGGCCTCCACCTGGCTTTGATGCGCCGATCACCGCCCCGACACTTCGAAAGGGACGCAAGCTGACGGTGATCCAGGTTGAATGCAGCCAATGCAAGGGTCTAGTCCTCAGGGGCATGACCCACTGTGACATTTGTTCAGCCGAACTTGCCACCAACACCGAGCTGCCGGAGGAAGCGGTCACCAGACTCTCAGTTCTCCGAAAGCAGCAGCTTGCGAGGGCCGGCCTCGCTCGCACCGAGTGCCCAGTCAGTGACTACATCAAGGCTGGCCTCAATCTGCGTGTGGTGTCTGCAAGCGGCCGTGGAAACATGAGCCCAGAAGCGATCATGATCCAAGACGCTCGCAGCCGGATGAAGCGTGCAGACAAGTGTGGCTTCCAGAGCATCGAGGATCGCTTCGAGCATGACGTCCAGTTCATGGAACGAATGCTGCAAATGGGCTACGATCATCGGGCAGCGCAGCGGCAGGATTGGCTTTGCCATGCTCACTTGGCGAACCCGCCGCGCAACAAAGCGCAAGTCAGCCTGGGCCTTGGATATGACGAAGATCATTCTCTGGCACGGCTGGCCTACATCGACGTAGCGCCCGATCGCTTTCCACAAGCCATGGACTACATTCCTGAGCAATGGTGCGTGATCTATCGCACCAACATCCTCTCCTTGCGCGAGTACATCGAGTACCTCAACTCGCCCGACTCCCATCGTGGCCTTTTGGCCTGGGACGGTGTGCATCAGATGAGACAATACTGCGCATTGGAGGAGCTTCGCCAGCTATGCCACGACAACCTCCCCGCTGCCCGGCGTGACGTGGTCAACAAGCAGAATCAAGAGCAGCGCCAGCAGCAGGGCAAGGGCAAGCGCAAGTCCTCTACCGAAGGTGATGGAACTCCAGCTTCAAAGGCAAAGGGAGGTCCGCCACCTTCACCGGTGAGCCCACGTGCATCCGGATCAGCATCGTCCTCGTGGGGATGGAGCTCATGGAACTGGAGCGAGTGGGGCGAGCAGCGGCAGTGGGACCGCCGCTCGTGGGACTGGAGCTCGAGTCGGAGCCAGTGGCATTGGCGTTAGTTGAGCCAAGTCTCAACCTTTTTGCCTGAGCGAGCATAATTCATTGCATGACATCCATTGTCAATATATATGCGGTTTTCCTCCCAAGTCCAAACTTTCAATTCCTTTTGGCGGCGGGGAGTGAATAATTAAAATGCACGTACAGGGCCACGTAGGCAGTGGATTGCTAGCATCCATAACTGCCATGCAGCTTTGAGCCGACATCACTGTCGTGCCCTGCACAAGCCCTCGTGCACTTTCCGCGTCCAGCTTCGGGAGCTAAGCTACCTTAGCTGAGGGGGGTGTATTTTCACTCCATGTAATATGTACACTTTCTACCTTGCACATAATAGGATGTCATGCTGACTTCGCAGCTCGCGGCCCAAAACAGGAGTTGCAGCTTAACGGCTGTTTCTATAGGGACCGTAGCAGGCTTCCTGGAAAGTAGAGGAATGGCTGGTCTTCCAGGGGACCGAACTGCTCCACTTGAGTGTTTTACAGTTTTTGTGTGTTTTGGTTGGGGTGGTTTTGGAACAAAACATCAATCGCAGTACTAGTACAAGTCGTGCCAACTGTTTAATTATGAGGCACATTGCTTTCAGATATCGCATTTCCCTTCCTTTGTGTTTGAGAAGTTCTGGTGCTTTCTGTGGTTCTAGCACATTCCCCTTTTGCCGACCGGGCACGTTTTCAACACTTCCCAGAGGGAATCTGGGAATCCTATTCTTCACCATCCTCGGTGCCTGCAGCGGTCCAGGATCTGGTGATGAAAGCCGTGAAGCAGTATCCTGATGCTTTGGCACCTGGTCTTCAACTCTGGGCTGTAGCAGTGGCTGTAGCATTGGCTGTAGGTCTTGCTTGTAGCGGGTTCAGCCGCCCACTGCATTCTGCTGCAAGCAACCGCCCGGGTGTAAGGAGTTTATCCCAAAGCATTTCCTCAAGGATCCAGATGCTGGGCTGCGAATGCGGCGGCGCGTCGTCGACGCGGTGGCCCTCAAAATCGCCTGGGGTGGTCTGCCGTGGTGGTCTACCGCCTTTCATTGAAAGGACGTGGTTCTTGGATGTTCAACAGGTGCCCTTTCAAGGCACCAGAGCCTGGTGGAAGTCCTTTCAAGGGGTGAGAGTCCTTTGATCCTGATTGGTGCAGAGTCTCTGAGGAAGATTGGTTTCAATAAACTGATTGATGAGACTTGGGACTTCATGGGGCTTCATGAAACTTGACGGGACTTGATGGGACTCAGACCAACTCTGTGAAAATCATGATCTTCAATTGGTTGGAATTGTGAATGTCTTTCTTTTTGGCAGAACTGATTGGACTCAGAATGACAGAAGTGATTGGACTCAGACATACTCAGACCAGTTGATGCCAAGTTCAAGTTCTGTGGAATTGTGATGAATTGTGACAATTGTGTGGGTACCACTGGGTCACTGGATGATGAAGGCAACCACTGCTCTTTTCATGCTCTTTGGTACCTGCGTCAAGACCAGAACTGCTTCCCCCAATCCTGCACCAGCTCAAAAACCCGTTGTTCTGGTTGAACCCTGAAAATGAACAGATTCCCCTATATAAGGGATGTCAACCATGGAAGGTTTCTGGATGTTTCTAGGCTGAGGTTTTGGACAATTTGGTTCCCCACACCCATTTGAACATGTTCACATTGGGCATCCTCGATGTGATTCTGAGAGATTCGGAGCTGCATGGACTCCGCGCCCCGTTCGCGGCCTCAGTCCGCGGTCAAGGATGTGATTCGATGCGCGGTGGAGTCCGATGGGACCTGCCTCTCTTACGCGCATGAAGACTTACGAGGTTGGAATCTGAAAACACGGAGAAATGCGGACTGGTTTGTTCTGTTGCCAGCCTATACAGGAGTGGCTTTCATGGAGAAATATGTGTGTTCTTCCTTAAGTAAATGGCCAATCAACTAGCTTTGTATTGGTTTGCTGGTGGTTTCGACAGCCTGAGAGCGTCAGATGGGCCTAACAAGAACTCAAGCACAGCTTGACAAAAATTGCATTCTCGGATGGAGTTTTAGATCCAAGTCCATTTCTTGGGTCTCCTACTGCAGCGGAAGCTGAACATGGCAGAGATTTGTAAAGGTCAACTATGTTCCAGTCGCTGATGCGGCTGAGGAGAGAACATGCAATTGTTGGTTCATGATCGACATGATCAACATTTGCACAGATGAAAACCATGGCAAAAGCCTCCAGATGTGATTGGCCAGTGAGTTGCTTCCTGAGAATGAATGAGCATGACACATTAAGGAGTAGGTCTGTGAGAGGCTGAGAGGTCTGAACTGACTGGGACCTTAGGTTTTGGCAGCCGCTCAACCCCTCTAGCTCTCTCTAGGTAGCTCTATGGCTGGGTTTACGGTATGGCCCTCTTTAGCTGGAAGGTTGCTTGCTCCATTGGCGCGGGCATCCACAGCAGGCTCACAACATCCAGTTGATTGATTGATATCCTCACAGGACATTGATATTCCACTTAGTTTCGGGATTGTCCTAGATGTTCTATGTCCCAGACCCATTCTGATAGAACGACTAAATCATCACCTTCGAAGACTTCAATCTCTTGGTCGTTGGCGCAGGCGATGTTGACCTGGTTTTCGCGGCAGTTCAGCAGGAGGGCATGGCCCTCGAGTATGCCAGTGAAGAGCTTCAGGCCTGAGCCTCCAACTGTTCACTTACACTCCCGACACTCCCTAGAACTAACATGGAAGTGGAGAATGGCCCCTTGGAAGACCACGTTCCATTACAAACAGGTGGTTTTCAACTTCCATGTTAGTGAGTCGGAGTGTCTCAATCTCAGACATGCCATGGCGGGACTGGCATGTTTACACACATTCACCATCATGGACCCCTTTTCAAACACCCCAAAATGCCAGTCCCATGGGTTTTCTTGAGCCAAAAGAAGCGTCATCCTGGTGTTTTTCTCCAGTCACCATGCTGTCGTCGAGTGGGGAGAAGGCGGAGAGACGTCCTGGTTGGCAGGGCAGGGTTCAGATCAATCAACGAGAGGAATGAGCCTCTTCTATGCGGGATTCCTGCGTCACGCAGAACTGCAATTCTGCGGAACTGCTGAACCTTTGGGATGTGCTTGTGGATTTGAGTTGACTGCATTAATTACCTAACTTGGGGCCGTTTTAAAGGTGCAGTGCCTACACATGTTACAAGCAGGCATATCTCGAAGAACCAATTATGGAAACAGCAACAACAACAACATCAACAGAAAGAACCAGACCTGGTCGGGCTCATTGCCCCGCACTGCGCTGGTTTCCGAGTCATCCAGATGCCCCCGACAGACCCACCGAGACCCACCGACAACGGTGCTGGGACTTCCGAGCGGTGATCTTAACTTGAGCCTATCCCCGAGGGTTGAGTCAGGTGCTCACCATACCTAGAGTATCCTAGAGTCAGTCCTAGAGTCCTTGGATTTGTCATGGTCAATGGTCATGGTCATTGTATGTCATTGGGGTTCCGAGAACAGTCATCCCAAGCCAGGTAGACGTTCACCACCTTCACTGAAGTTCCAGCGTGAAGTAGCACTGGGAATTCTACACATTTGCACATGTCGATTTGTTTCCACCGGTTTGTCTTATCAGCCAATCCTTTTATGGGTGTGTAGGGAAACCTAAAAGGCCCCGTCGAAGAAGGAACACTGACATATTGGTTGGGTGCTTCTATTGAATCACACATGCCAATGCCCGTGTATAAAATGGTTCATGCACCTTGGACAACAAACCTTAATTAAGACACCGTCGTTTCTCGGGAAACATGTCTCCAATTCCCGTATGTGAGCTGTATGTGATCGAGAGGGCATGCCATTCGCAAAAACACCCCTCCCTCCAAAAAAACACTGTTATTTTACATGTCCCATGTGAATTCCTCTATCCAAGAAATTCCAGAACTATTTGCATGTCCCATTGCTGTCTTCCACAGACTCGCGCCTTACCCTCGGTCTAGGCAGATCGCCGCCTGGTGCTCGCCGCACTCCGCGCGGACGGCTCGGCGCTGCAGTTTGCGGGCGATGCCCTGCGGGAGGACGAGGAGGTGGAGACCAAAGGATCTCCTGAGGAAGCTCGGAAGGTCTAGGAGGGATAATTAGTTGTTACTAAGCAATTAGCCTTCTAGGTTCTTTTTTGGTGAGATGAAGGTGAAATTGACATAGAATCACAATGAATATTATCAATGAATCACATAGATATGGTAGTCGATCGAAAGGTCGACATAAGGTTTATGCCACTGAGAGCCTCTTCAAGTTGTCCGCGAAAGTTTTTTCTCGTTCGCGAAAGTTAACTTTTTTCTGGCGAAAGATTTGCGAAAGAGTCTATTATACTATATATTGTATACATGAAGAGGCGATACCATCATCAGCGATTTGCAACAGTGCTGTGTGAGCAGCAACAACAACACTTACTACTACTACTACTACTCCTACTACTACTACTACTACTACTACTCCTCCTACTACTCCTGCTGCTGCTGCTGCTGCCACTGGTTGTTACGCTGTGCGCCTAGAAACCCACCAATGACGCGACAGTTTTTGGCGAAAGATTCGCGAAAGTTCCGCGAAAGCATAGGCGAATGTGAAGGTTTGTTTTGTGGACCCCTGCCCAAGCCAAGCAGCGACTCCTGGCTGGACATTCCCGTAACGACTTCTTTGAGAGGACATGAGAGGACACACGATGAGTTTAGGGAAACTCATCACTTCTGTGACGAACATGTTTCCAACCTCATGTTCCATTCCTAGCTTTGATTCTAGCTTCCTCCTGGCCGCGATTTCGACACGCCAACGCTCCCTCAGGTGGTCTATGCGGCCCTACGCTCAGACGGCTTGGCGTTGGAGTTCGCACATCCCAGCAAGTGGCCCGGAGCGGCGAACCGAGGTGGTCGGTTCCTGTTTTTTGTTGGGCGTTCCAGTTGGTGAACCTCGGAGTCCAAGGTCGTATAGGGAGCGACCTGGAGAGGAGAGGGGGAGAGTGGACATTCAGCGACCTGGAGAGGGACTTTGGGCCCCCACCAGTTGCGAGCACTATCAATTCGCCCCTCCGTTTTGGGGACGTGGCTTTTGCACTAGATGATTTTGAGGAGGGTCACATGTGGTTCTAGATTTGTGTAGTGCCTTTGAGGTCCCCTTAGCACATCGCAGAACGCCCACAAGGATCCAGCCAGCCAGCACCATGGCATTGTAGTTTTGTGCATGTTTGTGCATGTAGAGCCTTTGCAGATATGCCAGAAGAAGATGATCATTGATCATCCTTTGGTCCCAATGAATTGACCATGCAATCATTCACCACCTGGGACATGCAATTCCAAATTCAATGAATGTGGCAGTCCTGGGCAATGATCAACGGCCACCAACATGAATGTCCTTGACTGACTGGATTTAGGGACAAGCAACTGAGCAGTGGATGGTTGGGTTATGTTATTTTTTTTGGGGGGGTGGGGGGTTGGCAAACTCCCAGTGCTTTCAGTGCCAGCCAGGCAGTTGAATATAGAAATGTCCAATCCTTGTAGTTTGCTCACTTTCTGGGTTGGTGGCCTCGTCCGGAAAAAGGAGCTGTATACATAGAGGAGCCTGGCCAGGAAGGGCCAGGTCACCACATCCATCGCTTCCGTCTTACAGCCGAACCAAGGCGTAGCGATAAGGAGCTGGTGCTCTTCGCCATTCGGAAGGAGCGTCCGTGGCGACTCGAAACGCCCGCGGGGTCGGACTAGCCGCCGAACCCGGCGATCTATGGAACATGTTCCATCCAGAGGTCAGTGAAGGGCTGTGAACCTCTAGAGGGTTGGGCATAAGACTTCATGCTCCATTTAGCGAGGCAAATCTGGAAGAGCCCCACCGCCTCCGGTGATTCTTGTCATTCGGCAGTGAAATACGAAAGAAGGTGATTAGTGTAGAAGGTGAACACAGTTGGAAGGCATGACATCTTTTACTTATATAGCTGCTTGACTGACCAGATTTCTTCAAAAGAGCACAGTTGTGGCGTCTTTTGCTTAGCTGCTTGACTGACCAGATTTCTTCTTACAAAAAGGATCTATATATAATATACATCATTATCATTATACATGCCACCTCCGGAGTTGTTAGCCAAAAAGAACCGGCCGAAGCAGCGGGTGGCCATACACTGGACTCTTTGGCCACCTCCACCGGCTTTTCGTAGCCCCCAGAGACCCCAAACCGGCAGACCTGTAGGTGTTTTTCCCCAAACAGTTTACTGTTGGGGGTTGTATATTTAAAAAAAAGCTGGCCACACTCACTGGCCGCGCCCCTGAACTCTGTGGCTGGGCTCTGTGTCCAGGCCTTGTCCTCCTCTTGTCCTTTGTGGCTGGGCTCTGTGGCTGGGTAGTGTTTTCTTCTTGTTTTTGTCTTGTCCTCCTCTTGTCCTTGTCTTGTTTGCGCCCCTGAACTCTGTGGCTGGTCTCTGTGGCCCGGTTTACTGGAGAGGAGTGTGGCCGAACAAACAGCGATGTCAATGCCCAAAATCATTGATGAAGCAGTTTGCCCTTGGGGTGAAGGTAGGGCGTACCAAGAAATCAATTTTTTGACTAATATTGGCATTGGTCTAAACGAATCCTTTTGAAGCTGTTTGGGGTCTATGCTTGCATAATTTGTAAACATTGTTTCTTCTAAACACGGGGGGCAAGTCGATTTCGCAGCTCCCAATAGGATTGTGGCTACTATAACAAATAGCTCGTAAAGGTCAGGTGATCTCAAGCTTTGTCCATCGACAGCAACATAGGAAGGTGCTTAGTGCAGGAATCGCCAAATCCAGCACCATCAGGTGAATGGGTCAAGTTGAATCTATCTATCTATCTATCTATCCATCTACCTATCTAGACAAGGGATATGACAAGGCGTATGCCTCCCTGATGCGTGACTTCAGAAGGAACTGTCTGGCTGCATCGGAGATTTGGACCATGGACGCACTTCGGGAGGTCTTGACTACCCATCATATCGTGCTCGAACCTGAGGTCTTGGAGTCACTTGTCAGAGGCTTGGTGTTCAGCAGATTCCCGAGCGTGCAACAGGCTTATTCTGAGCTGACCACACTTGGTGATGGGATGACATTCAATGAACTCATGGCTTTACCAGCGAGGTATCGCCTGATCCATTTGCTTACGAAGCTGCAGGCAATCGCTGGGGTACCACATGATGGGAATGGTGGATTTCCAACTGGGCGCATGCAGTTGTTTTTCACGCCCTTTCAGCTTGCCTACGCCCTATTCCGTTGCGCCAACAAGGTGGTGATCAAGCGCGGCAAGATGTACGCCATCTGCGGACATGAGTATTGCATTGCAGATTACACAGCGTTGCGGTCACCAATTCAACGGGCCTTTGTACCGATGTATCATGGCACTTTCCGAAGCAATCTTGTCGGTATCAAGGAGAAAGGCCTCCTTCCGATGACCAAAGATTGCATTTACTTTTCTTCGGTATGGCCATCACGAGGCTTGGTGCCCGGAAAGGGGGACTCTCCGTTCAATGCAGTGGTCATTGTACGTCAAGCTCCGCTTGTAGCTCAGGAAGGTGTGACATCTACGCAAGTCCTTCATGTTTCATCGTGGTCCCGAAGGTCGCAAATCCTGGTAGAGGCTTTGGCTGTGCAAGCTCAAAATTTCAACACTGGTCTTTGGGAGGCCTGGGAAGGGATGCCTACGGAGGCACCATGAAGTCAATCGCGAGTCAACGCTTTTCTGCTTTATCAGTGGTGAAGGAAGTTTGGACAATTGCGGATGATGCTTTGCCTGGAGGGAAGCCCACACAGTTTACTGTTGCGGTTCTATCTTAGAAAAAAAGAGCTGGCCACACTCTGGCCGCGCCCCTGAACTCTGTGGCTGGGCTTTGTGGCTGGGCTCTGTGTCCAGGCCTTGTCCTCCTCTTGACCTCTTGTCCTCTGTGGCTGGGCTCTGTGTCCTGTCGCCTGTAACTGGGCTCTGTGGCTGGGTATTGTTTTCTTCTCTTTTTTTCTTGCGCTCCTCTTGTCCTTGTCTCGTTTGCTCCCTGAACTCTGTGGCTGGGCTCTGTGGCCCGGCTCTGTGTCCGGGTCTTGTCCTCCTACAGCGATGTCAATGCCTAAAATCATTGATGAAGCAGTTTCCCCTTGGGGTGCAGGTAGGGCATACCAAGAAATCAATTTTTTGACTAATATTGGCATTGGTCTAAACGAATCGTTTTGAAGCTGTTTGAGGTCTATGCTGGTAAAATCTGTCTTACAAAGGTGCTGGGACAACCTTGCTTGATTTGTGGCGCCGGTCAACAGCCTGTGGTGGCGGCTCACGCAGCAGTGGCAGAAATGGCCAAGGACATGGCCAGTTGCTTGCGCGACAACGTGACAACTTGCTCATCCACATAGATCCTGAAGGAAGTGGAGCGCAGGACATTCTCTTTGACATCCTTTACAATATTGCAAAAGTTCTCAGGCACCCAAGGCCGACTTGACCCTGAAGATGAAAGTCCTCATAATCTCATCGCCACAGCTCTTCAAGCTTGGGTTCGTCGAGCTATTGGGTTGCGCCCGACTGTATATGACTCTCCTGTAGGGTCGCTTGCTGACCTATGTGCAACTTCTTTGAACTTGAACATTCACTGGCGAGCTTGAGGAATTTACGACTAGTCCCGGCACTGCCCTGGCGAAATACGTGCCAGCCGCTCCATTGATCAACAACTCGATGCAAAGAAAGCCCGTACAATTGAACAATAGCGATGACGGCCTCCTGTCGAAAGTGGATGGTCAGAACTTTTGGAACCCTTCATGGTGTGTTGGCAGAGGACTTTGAAGCTTCTGACTGCGCGAGACAGCGGTCAGCCTTGTCACGTGCTGCCATGACCGGGACCCAGCTGCTGGCCTGATGGTGCTCTTGCGCTTTGGCTCCGCGGCTGCGCTCCTGGCTTGGATCCTTTGGCACTGGTTTTGTGGCTGCCCCACCGCAGAGAGGATAGCAGTCCCGGTCCCAGTCCGGGATTCTTCCGATGAGGCTCCTCGAAGCAACTGGACATAGCTCACGGAAGAATAGAGGTGAGGGTAGAGGATCAGCTAGGGATCCTCGGGAGGGAGGAGGCCAATTTTTTCGGATGCATTTTGCCTTACTCCAAAGTGCCTAGCACAGGGCAACAAGCATCCTCCGGGACAACCAACAAACCCCCTCTTTTGATCAATGCCGACGAATTCGAAAACGTAGTTTCGCTCGTATGCAACGACGGCTACAACTGCATGGTTTTGCAGTGTATCATGGAAGAGTGTTTCTCTCACCTGTCAACCTAGACACAGCAGTGAACGCTCCAAGTTCTGTGACGAGCAATACTCCTCCTAGACGCAGACCGAGATTGACACACCTTTGTTGGAACTGCAGCTCCTTGACTTCAGAGTCCTTCAGTGAGTTCATGCTGTGGATCTCACTTCAACAAGTTGATCTGGTCTTTCTTCAATCTACCCACTGGTCATTGGATCAACGATGGACCAGCCTCATCAACATGTACCAATTCACCACTCAGAGTACTCAAGCAAGACCTGACCCCTACGGAGCACGCAGCAAGATCTGGCAGGCTCTTCAGCATCTCCTCCTTATCGGAATACTCTGATTGTTGGAGGGACTTTAACACTACAATGACCTCAACACGACGCTGCGCTTTCCAAGATGTGGATGTGCTCAAAGATGTACTACGTACTTTTGGCCTCGCCTCACAGATGACTCGTCTCCAACGTTCATTGGCCCCAGGGGGAGATCAGTCATTGACTATGTGTTCATGCGGCGTGACCAAGCAGACAAAGAGCACTCTGCCTCTCACAATTTCCCCTGGTTCAACACAGACAGTATCCAGATCATCTCCCCATCCTGCGTAGCATCCCGGCCAACTGGAAGGTCTGGTACCGAGCTACCTCCAAATCGAGCACCTTCTTGACCAAACAGGATGTTCACGTCATGACATTGGAGCATCGAGCCAACACCGAGCGCTGGCAGGACTTCATGCACAGAGCTGAGAATCTCCTGGCCAACTTGACCAAACTAGGCAAACAGATGTTCTCCCAAGAGACCACCCGCAAACTTCCTATGTGGGTGGAGGCCAACACACGTTCCTTGGTAGCTCGCAAGTGGCGGCGCCTGCATCATGCGCGGATGGCACATCAAGGGAGTGCAACATTGACAACATGTCTTCAGGCTTGGAACCGTGTCACTGGTTGCACAAACAGTTAAAACAACACTTTGCCCAGCTGAAGAAAGACAGAATGAGACGGATTGCAGCAGAAGCTGCAAGGGCAGCTGCTGCTCTATACCAGGCTATCCGCACTCTTACCCCGAAAATGGTGAGACAGACAGGCTGTTCGGTTTCGTGGGAAACAAGGTGAACTTCTGACAGCCGACCAGGAGCTTCAGTGTTTGGATCAACACTTCCGACCCATCTTCCAGGCTGCAACAGACACACCAACATATACAGCATGTGCACCAGCTCTTCTCACTGAAGAAGAACCTGTCCTGCAGTTGAGTCAAACAAAGCTACACAAAGCAGTTTCTCCAGATTCGCTTCCGGCTTTGTTGGTCAAGGCACTGGCTCCGGCCCTGGGAAGCTGGCTTCATCGTCACCTGCATCAACATCGGAGGACAGCACCGCAGATACCCTCAAGATGGAAAGATGCAACTTTAGCACTCCTACCCAAACGACGAGTACACAATCC